CGATGATCCTACAAGACTCCTAAAACACTCATTTGAAAGGCCTGTCATATTGCTGTCTATTTGTGACATCCTACGAAATTCTTTCTTCTGACACTTTACGGATATGACTGTTCCAGGAGTGTTCGGAATGTTTTGGGATGTCTTTAGGACGAAATTTGCTGTATGGGTATTTACTACACGTTGAGTCTTCGGCCGGCGGGGATCGAACCCTCGAACTCTTTGACATGGGTCCAGTGCCCTACCAACCAGGCTATCTCGGCACACCTCATAGATTTAAAAAAAAGCAATTACAATTTTCATTAACATAAAAAAACTGAAATTTTGTAAGAAATTTTAACGCTCCCAGGCTTTTAACGCTACGCCCTTTTCCCTTTAGTAGGATCTAGATAACTGCGTTTCACGCAGTACACGATCCCGCCTTTCACTTTAATGGAGGAATATGAAAACTACAGAATCCTCATGAAATAATTGCTTCCCTTTTTAAAATAACCTCAAGTGCAAAAATTTGTAAGGTTACACTGAAAGGAAAAACCATTATGACAATCTGCTCGCTCAATAACGCGTTGTGCCACTTTTGGCCCCCAAAACAGCTGCAACTTACTTCCCTTTGGCATGGATCATGGGATGCTATAAACTCTTAGCAGATAACTGGAGATAAATTGTACCAAATCTCAAAGCAGCGACAAAGCAAAGTCGATATATTTCGCAATTCCAATTGTGCTTTATCGGGATAAGATCCGGCGAGTTAGGTGGCAGCGATATTAATTAGAATTAGTCATTATGCTCTTCGAACCACTCTAACACGATTCGAGCCTTAAAAATTGCAGTGCTGTCCAACTAAAAAATTTTATTTCTAGTTGAGAAAATAGAGACCAGTACAGATACAACAGATCCGCAATTACGTTATTCCTCAGATTTCATCATAATTGCTGTCATAATTGTCAGCTGACTGAGCCTCTGTCTGACGTTTTGTTATAACAAGCGGAACGTTCTCCGACGTTCATTTTCTTTGACAACACGAGGACGTCCAACACTTTGTCATCTTTCACCATCATTTAACCGCTTTGCATGAATATACTTTACCATTTTGCATAAAGGCATCAGTGACGTAAATAACACCCCGCATCGCATCCCTTCGCTGTGCAGGGATGCTGCACGAGGTATGAGGGTGCATGATCCAGAAATAATACACTATGATAAGGGTGCACAATTTGCGGCCCGCAGGTGCATCGGAATATAATAAGAATAATAATTTTTCTTTCCTTTGAGAGTAAAAAATATTGAAAATTTTGAATTGCGCATTTTCCAACGAGCCAAATCTAAATCAATGTAGTTTTTCGATCGTTTTTTTCGGTGGTTATTGCAACGAATTTTCAAAGTTTTAAAATATTACTAATACTTATGGGGCAGTTCAAAAAGTACGTACATCCCGAAGGGGGGAGAGGGGATTTGCTATTTTGTACGATGGGTAGGTGGGGGGAGTTTATACAAAGTACGTACATTATAAGCAAAATTTAAATTTGACTTTTTCCTACACATGTATTATACATATGTTTGTTCTTGTATTTTTTTTTCACACGGCGACCACTTGTTAGAATGAGTAAATCAGTTCTCAAAAAGTTGGGTGTTATTGTTTAAATAATTTAAATGAATAAATCATTTTAAATTAATATTTAATTTTATTTAAAACATAACTATTTAATTTTTCTGTGAAAGGGGGGCATACTAATAAAATGTACGTACTCTAAGGGGGGGGGGGAAGTAAGACCTTATGTACGGTAATGTACGAAGGGGAGGGAGGGGGTTAATATTTCTATTTGTGTACGTACTTTTTGAACGGCCCCTATATTATTGACCAATTTAAAGAAATATTTTGGACGTGATAATAAAATGGTAAAATTAAGTACAGGCAATTTTAAACTGTTATTATTACACGATCATTTAAAATATTGCTGGACTCGGCGTTTTTTTGGTAATAATTTATGTTTAATAACTGAACTATATCCCAATTTTCTAAATGAACTGTTTAAAAAAACAATTGTCTGCTTTGGAAAAGTATTTTTTATACATATTTAGTAGAAAAAATGTTATAAGAGTATAAGTAGTTTGAGAAATCGATATTAAACGTCAGCTAAGAGGCATTATAAAAGTTATAAAGTTCCCTATTTACAAATGCTGTAAAAAATTAAAAATATCCAAGTAATTAATATTTTAAACTAAGATTTTTTCTTTTCAATTTGCAACTATAAAAGAAACAAACTGAATTTATTTAATAAATAAGATGCAGAAAAATTGCAAACAAATGAAATAATTTATGAAAATAACTTTATTTAGTAAATAAATACTCTAATAAATTATGAGGACATTTTTTCTCACAGAAAGTTTAACAAAAGCGTTATCTTAGAAAATCTAATAGTGGTAACGAATGTAAAACAAATCTCGCTTATTTGTGATAACTTCTATGCATTATTTTGCAACGAAAATATATTCATGTAGCAAACTTCGACCTAACAATTTTATAAAGACCGTGTTGTCTGCGAGAGGCACTCTTCGAGTTCAATGAATATATCATGAATTTTTAAGAATATGAAAGTATTAATGTGTTTATAAAACAACATTTGGAGAATGAAACATTTTAAACTAGGCATTTCCTTCTGCTCAGCTTCTTATCTAAATATCAAAATTTTTTTCTTCTACCAAAAATTAGGCTCCTCGCTGTGCAAAGCCCAATTAAGGTGAACGTAAACCTAGGGCCAGAATTTCAGTTTAGCACTCACTTTAGAAACGTGCTGTTTTTAATTTTAAAAATCAAGAAGTTTCAATTAGCATAATCACATAAAAAAATTTCAAAATGTTAGTAAAACCTATATAAATTTTTTAATTGCTCTTTTTTTATTGAATTACTTATGAATTATCTCTTTCAGTAGAAAAGAAAGTTATAAATCTTTACAGAATACTAACTTATAGTATTTGTTAAAATAATTTAAAATTGTTTAGAATGAATAATAAAATCAAACTAACGTTTTACAAAACGTAGGGGTGAGCATAAAACATTAATAACTGTTAAAAACTAATATTATTAACCGAAACCTGGCGCCTTTTTAAATACTGATCCTCCACAAGTTCCGGATCGGTTTAGCTTCTTCCAAAATCAAGGGCAATCAATTTTACAGCGCCATCTGTAAATAATTCCAAATGTGGATTTTTTCCCTCCTATTTAGCAAAGGTTGGCATGAGCAAGATGTGACAGCTTCTAAAAGACAAACCGAAACTACTAATGCAAAGCGACTATTTTTCGATTTTTAACTAGAAACGAAAGGCGTATTAAATAATTACATTAATCAGTTATTATGTGTTCTCATGAAAGCTCTGATGAGTCAGATGCAAGTTCATTTTGCGATCTCCTTCAATCAGAATTGTCTTCAGATTCAGATGATTCTGTATGTGATAGCGATAGTAGTTTTGAAATGGGTTTTATAAGTTCAAGTACTTTAAATTCAGACTCTTCTCATTCTGTATGTACAGAGAAACTTGATTCATCTAATTTAAATACTTTACTTAGATCAGAGCTAGTTGTTAATGATTTTGTAAATAATTATACAGATAAAACTAACACCAAAGATGCTAATGAATCATCGTCTGACATCGTTGGTCAAGCTTTAATAAATCATAGAGAAACTCGTACTAGCCAAAATAATGTACAATATTCAGTTGAGAATAACTTCATTGAATTAAAGTGTAATTATGATTGTAGTAAATTTAGTGCAGTTTGTACGGTTTGCGGTAAAGCATTTTCCTCATCTACCGCTTTAGATGTTCATAAACTAGATCATTTTGTATCAGAATCATATTCATGTGAAATTTGTAATCATATTTGCAAGAATAAGGAGGATTATGCTCTTCACTTTCAGACTCATGACCAGAGCACAGTTGTCGCTACTAACACTTTACGAAATAAAAAAAAAGTAGATATCACTTATTCTTGTGAAATATGTGGTCAAAAGTTTAAATTTTCTAACAGTTATGAGCGCCATATGATTAAACACGCTTCTTTGTTTGTTTGCAATATTTGCAATGCATCATTCCAGTCTCAGTTATTGTGCCATCAGCATAAACTTAAACATGCAAAGAAAAAGGCAAATAAATGCAAGGTTTGTGATAAAATTTTTCAAAGACCTCACCAGTTAACTTTACATATGCAAGTGCACGAGACTGAAAAAAAATATCGATGCATGGAGTGTGACTTTGCGTATTCTTATAAAACAAGTCTCATGAGACATATGGTCAAGTATCATGCACCAGATTCACCTAAATTTCAGTGTGAAGTGTGTGGTGAATTATTTAAAACAAAGAAGATGTTGAACTGCCATTCTATACTCCATACCTCTGCTAAACTAATTCAGTGCAATGAATGTTCGCAAACTTTTAAATATAGATCAAGCTACCAAAGACATCTTTTTCTTCATCGCAGTTCCAAACCTTACCGATGTTATAATTGCGGGAAAACATTCAAAACAGAAAATCATCTTAAAATTCATAAAGCTCTCCATGTAGCAAATGACAAATTTGTGTGTAAAATTTGCGATAAAAGTTTTGCTTATGAATCTTTTCTGAATAACCATGAATTATTACATGAAAATAAAACTTAATTAGAAAAAAGAGAGTATGTTCAGATAAAATATTACCTTAGCATTTGGTTTATCAGAGATGTGGGGAGATTTCCATATTGTTATCTGTGGCAGAATAATTGCCAAGTGTTGGCAACTTCAGCGGCTCGCGAGGAACTAAAAAAAAATCACAGAAAGGGACCAACCAACTCGAAAGATATAACTTGTAACCATCCCAGGGCAAGCATCTACTTGTTTTTTTTCTTCAAAAAATTGCAAGTTTAAAATCTATTTGGCACATTGGCGATTGTAGTTTGCGCAACAGATCACGATATGAAAATATCCCCAGAAATGTATCTGAGGGGGTCTAGACCTCAGATTGTACAAGAATGAAAATTATATTATTATTTATATATACGGTCAAAAATTTTCTAAATAAAATATTAAGACCTCCTACCCCAGATATTGTCATTCAGCTACATGTCTTTGGTTCAATGTTTCCTTTAAAATCGTGATTTAGGTGAACTTTGCTTGCTTGTTTCACCTATTCTAAACTTAAAATAATGTATAAAATGTTTAAAAATTCAAAAAGTAAAAAAAAAAAGAATCACATAAAATAATTAAAAAAAATATGTAAAATTGAAATAAAAAGTTATTTTTATTTCTTTTTTACTAATTTATTTTTCTTTCAAATTATTAATTGATATTTTTAAACTACACAAGTTTAGATTAAAACTTTAAATTTAAAAGATAAAATGAAAATTCTAAATATATATAAAAAAAAATTTATACAGTAGAAAATTCAACCTAAAAAATAAGATAAAATAATGTGTGTTTAAAAATTCAAATTGTAAATACTTATTCAAACTGAAAATAATTCCTTGGAAATGATTAAAAACATTAAAAAAATTCTGTGTGTAGATAAAAAGGAGTCGTCCTAGTGTTTTTAAAACTGAAATTTCATGCCTTGGTGTTGACAGAACAGGATAGTTTGACATTGGACACAAATATATCACTTTCAGAAAAAGTGAAAGATTCACCAAAATTGAAGGAAACAATGGAGAGCATCTTTCTAAATTTGTTTATCTAACAAATATACAAAAATATTAGGATTACCAAATAAAGTAGTAATCCAATTTGTTTTTAAAAATAAAATGTTTGGCAAAGTTTCTTCAAAGGAATGGAAAAAAATACAAAATTTCTGTTACTCTTTTGGTATGGTAATTAAAAAATCACAAAAAATTTAATAACTCCACAACTAAATTGAAATTTTTAAATTTGTCATAGTTCTCTTTCCGCCTTCTAATCTTCAGTTGGCAAGACTACAAGCATGCACAGAAAAAGTTTTCCAAAGTGGCAATGTCAAGGGTTGTAACTTTTTTAATATCAGGAGAGATATTAAAGAATTTTCTTGTACAACAAATCTTGAGACATGTGATGAATAAAATTACCAGATTTCAGTGCAAAATGTGTGGAGAATTGCTTAAATAAAAAAACATTTAACTGTCATTCAAAACTTCATTTTCAACTAATTCAGAGTGATGAATGTCCACTAACTTTCATTGCACCAGCACAACTAGAAATTAATTTAGAGTTTAAAATCAATTGATTTTGGTTTTAATGTAGAGGATGTATGAATACTTTTTTTTTGAAAAAAGTATATAGGGTTAAAAATAAACTGCATCATTCTCTGCTATGTTATATATGGTTTTAGCGATGCTAACTGTACTTTGGATTTTTTTGTAATTTCTATACACTGGAACAATAGAACTTAAATATTTTCTCAAATTAGAATCCCTACTTGTAGTAACTTTTTTTTTGCAATAGAGATATATACCTTTATTTTTTCTGAGCTTACTAGCTCATTTGTTTTGTGTTAACCTTGAAGAAACTTTTCCTATCTTTTCATAACTATGTTAGTAAATCTTTACATAATTATGTAATATTGAAGCTGATTTTAATGTTAAGGAAAAAAATTTCTTCATTCATCATTTCATTAAACAATTAAATTTCACAAAAGATTTTTTGAATCTCCTGACCCTCCCCCTTTAATACTTTCTAATTTTTTGTTATAATTCTGAGGATATTGATAAATGCCAAAAGTTTCCAATACATTTTTCAAAGTTTAAAAAACTAATATCAATCATCACAGGTACAATTATTAACTATTCAAAAGTGATTCACTTATTTATAAAACGTTATGTGTTGTGTCAATTAAAGTATAGTTAGATCAGCTATTATAGTTCTACATTATAGTACAGTAGGAAACCGGAACGATCAGGACCATCCCTATAACTGATTTTTCCAGTTTTCTGAATCGCTACAAAAAGCCATTTTTTTTATTGTTAAACCCAACTAAAAAAAAATTTGGAAATAATCTTAAAAAGAAGAAAAAACGATGAAGTAATACACTAATGATTATTTCCAAAATGATGGTAAGGTAAACATCTTTCAAAATAGAAAGAAAAATCCTAAACTCTTATGAGGAAAAAAAAATTGTTTTTTGAAAATGACGGGAAAATGTATCGAATTTCGTTCCGGTTTTTTGGTTTTCCGGTTAACGGGTTCTGTACTGTAATATAGTATAGTTATACAGTACATATTTGTAAATAGTTTTAATTTAATATAGTATTTAATCTTGCTTATTTAAACTTTTATGTAACAAACATTCCATTATTCTTAGATGATTTGAACATTTTTAGAATGTTGTATTTTGTGCCCAGTTCATCTATTAATAATGAATCAATACTTACATTGAAAATTTAAAAGAACATATATATAATTATTAATTTGATAATTTTCATTCCTTAAAGCACCATTTAAAAAAAATCGATTAGCTGCATTCTTGATTCTTTTTAATAGCGATTTTTGATTTTTTTAAAAAAAAATTTCTGCAATCTTATGCTTCTTAAATATTTTATTTTACAATTTTAATAGTATTATAGAAAGTACATATTAACTAACAATTATTTTGGTTGCTATCTTCAAATTTAGAAAAGCATCAATTAGGACTGGGCGATATTAGAAATT